CCCCCCCCCACACACACACACTTGAGGAAGTTGCCCGATAAGAGGAACAAGAAGAAGGTAGCACTGAGCGTAGCGTAGCGCCGTCCCTAATAAACAAAGCAGAAGACGAGCGAGAGTCTAGCAGAGGTTAGGATGCGTGTCGTTAGATTTCAAGCAGTTTATGCATCCAGCACCTTTGTACCACCTATACCAAAGCTTTTTACGACAGTTGAGTCTTTATATCATTGAGTTAAAATTGTACCAATACAATATGTCCGTACACTAATAACCTAAACAACGACACCGGGACGGTTTAGAAGATTGTATAAACTTACTTTTCCGAAGCCAAACTTCGCAGGAGCACTTATTGAGACTATGTTGCTACGCCGGTCTAGTATGGATCCAATTTTTCTTTACAAATTCAACAAAACTTGATTTATGATCACACATCCACTCGCGATAAAACACAGTATGGTCGCCGGCGTCACCGGCGTTCTGCTTTGTTTAGGGACGGCGCTACGCCACGCCACCTCCTCAGTGCTACCTTCTTTTTGTTCCTCTTATTGGGCAACTTCCTGATACTGGGAGGAGGCTGATTTCCTCCTTCCACAGCCTGGCGGCCCGAGCGAGTAGGCAACCCCTCTTGCACGCGTGCATTCGGTACAGTCGATCACTACGAACGTGGGAGGAGAAGAATCCAGTTTGTACATTTTGCTCGTTTGCAACATGATACTTCCATACCAATGGTGTGTTAGGGCGGATTTAAATCAAAGTTTCCGAAAACTCGTGGCACAGGCAACACTTTATTTAAAAACGTTTTTTTTTTCTAGAGGCATCGTAGCTAGCAATTTCTTTTGATTCATTCTTTCACTCGTCTGCTCTTCTGCGGTTGAACTACGCACACACAGTCATATCTTTATAAAGCTATCACAGAGATTATTTTGTATTCGAACCCAACTGTCACAAGAAAATCAACAATCTTTCACCTTTGATATTTATCAAGTAAACAGCGCAATATGAAAGAAGGAATAACGGAGAGAAATATCCGTCCAGCGTAGTCAGAAGACAAATCGCTTTACAATTGCAGTCTCTGTAAATCTCCCCCACATGTTCCTCTGCGGGCGTAAGGCACTCGGTGAGTCAATACTTTGTTCAGGCTCTTTGGCTAATAAAAAAATGTTCATTCTCAAAGGAGAGGGGAGCGGTGATTGGAGGTCGAATCTCTCCCCCCATCATAGCGTCGGTACGCTCAGGGCAGCCACTCGGCGTCCTGGTCGCTGAAGCGGCCGTGGTTGTGGTCGTTGACCTGCACCTGCTCGCGCTGGTCCTCGGACACGGACTTCTCGCCGCGGACCGTGTGGTACAGCTTCTTGGCGCCGTCCGCGGCGTACTCGATGCCGTCGCCGATCTTCTCGCCGGCCTTGCGCACGACGCCGGCCGCGGACTGCGCCGTGAACGTGTCCTCGTCGATGTTGATGTCCACGCCCTCGGTCTTCTCCACGACGCAGCGGTCCTGGGAGATGATGGACAGGTCGAACGGGTCCACGCCCAGGGTGCTCATGCGGTTGCGAATCTGGGCGTAAAAAAAGAAACAAACGTTGAGACGGTCTTCCCCAAGGCCAACGCCGCCGTTGCACGAAGGCCTTAGATCATCTGGTCACGTTTTCTCACCTTATCGATGTACTGCTTGTCCAGGGTGCGTTTCCTGGCCAGGATCGAGACGGACTGGCGATTGGCGAAAGCCAGCCTCTGGCACGTGAAGATGGCGGCGTACGTGTCGTAGTCGGTCATGAACACGCGATACGAGGCACTGCCCGCGACACCTGGAGTCCGGGCAAGTTTGCACCGTTAGTTTCATATGCTAACGTTTTCTGTCATAAAATTGGAAAAATAAAAGGAAAAAAAAGAAACACAAGTTTGGCAATACTTGCAGCACGTACTGAGCGGGAACTGGACAGTCATGTTGGCGGCCGAGTCGGAGTCCGGGTTGACGCGCAGCAGGCCGCTGTAGCGGTACTTGTGGTCCACCGAGGTGAGCCCCAGCAGCAGGTGCTCGCTGATCTGCTCGACGCGGTAGTCGCCGGCGGCCCTCTCGGCCTCGCCCACGCGCGTGAAGTTGTACACGAGGCAGCGGCTGCCCGTCGACGTCTTCTGGATCACGTACCACTTGCCCAGGAACTGCAAACGGAAGAGACATGATAACCGACGCCCTTTTGGTTTTACTTCCCTGTCGGCTTGTTTAAAATAAAAAGAAGAAAAAAAAGGAAGATTAAAAAAAAAAAATGGTTGAGTTTTTGTGCATGAGGGAGAGGTTATCGTACCTTGTCCATCTCAAAGCCGGACATGGGCTCCACGTTGGGGCACGAGCCCAGGTGGTAGGAGTGCGCGGCCGCGCAGGCCAGCGCCGCCACGAGGACCAGCAGACTCTTCATCATGTCGTCGACTCTGAAACAGAGAGGAAGAGAGAATGCATCTTTAGCTGGGCAAGTGAAATAATCGGTCGACCGACGAAAATCGTCGGGCACCCCGCACGTCCCGACCGTGCACAACCCTTCTGCCGAGCCCCGCCACCCGCC